AACAAAAAAAAAAAAGTTTTCTGCTTAAACTACTTATGGTCTTTTACCAGTTTTGTGTTTGAAACTCTTCAATATTTCAAGTGGGAAACTTTTTGGTCCGCGACTGTACAGTTTATAGAAAAGTTGTGATAATTATATTGTTACTAATTTATATGAACTGTGAACAAAAAAAAAAAAGTTTTCTGCTTAAACTACTTATGGTCTTTTACCAGTTTTGTGTTTGAAACTCTTCAATATTTCAAGTGGGAAACTTTTTGGTCCGCGACTGTACAGTTTATAGAAAAGTTGTGATAATTATATTGTTACTAATTTATATGAACTGTGAACAAAAAAAAAAAAGTTTTCTGCTTAAACTACTTATGGTCTTTTACCAGTTTTGTGTTTGAAACTCTTCAATATTTCAAGTGGGAAACTTTTTGGTCCGCGACTGTACAGTTTATAGAAAAGTTGTGATAATTATATTGTTACTAATTTATATGAACTGTGAACAAAAAAAAAAAAGTTTTCTGCTTAAACTACTTATGGTCTTTTACCAGTTTTGTGTTTGAAACTCTTCAATATTTCAAGTGGGAAACTTTTTGGTCCGCGACTGTACAGTTTATAGAAAAGTTGTGATAATTATATTGTTACTAATTTATATGAACTGTGAACAAAAAAAAAAAAGTTTTCTGCTTAAACTACTTATGGTCTTTTACCAGTTTTGTGTTTGAAACTCTTCAATATTTCAAGTGGGAAACTTTTTGGTCCGCGACTGTACAGTTTATAGAAAAGTTGTGATAATTATATTGTTACTAATTTATATGAACTGTGAACAAAAAAAAAAAAGTTTTCTGCTTAAACTACTTATGGTCTTTTACCAGTTTTGTGTTTGAAACTCTTCAATATTTCAAGTGGGAAACTTTTTGGTCCGCGACTGTACAGTTTATAGAAAAGTTGTGATAATTATATTGTTACTAATTTATATGAACTGTGAACAAAAAAAAAAAAGTTTTCTGCTTAAACTACTTATGGTCTTTTACCAGTTTTGTGTTTGAAACTCTTCAATATTTCAAGTGGGAAACTTTTTGGTCCGCGACTGTACAGTTTATAGAAAAGTTGTGATAATTATATTGTTACTAATTTATATGAACTGTGAACAAAAAAAAAAAAGTTTTCTGCTTAAACTACTTATGGTCTTTTACCAGTTTTGTGTTTGAAACTCTTCAATATTTCAAGTGGGAAACTTTTTGGTCCGCGACTGTACAGTTTATAGAAAAGTTGTGATAATTATATTGTTACTAATTTATATGAACTGTGAACAAAAAAAAAAAAGTTTTCTGCTTAAACTACTTATGGTCTTTTACCAGTTTTGTGTTTGAAACTCTTCAATATTTCAAGTGGGAAACTTTTTGGTCCGCGACTGTACAGTTTATAGAAAAGTTGTGATAATTATATTGTTACTAATTTATATGAACTGTGAACAAAAAAAAAAAAGTTTTCTGCTTAAACTACTTATGGTCTTTTACCAGTTTTGTGTTTGAAACTCTTCAATATTTCAAGTGGGAAACTTTTTGGTCCGCGACTGTACAGTTTATAGAAAAGTTGTGATAATTATATTGTTACTAATTTATATGAACTGTGAACAAAAAAAAAAAAGTTTTCTGCTTAAACTACTTATGGTCTTTTACCAGTTTTGTGTTTGAAACTCTTCAATATTTCAAGTGGGAAACTTTTTGGTCCGCGACTGTACAGTTTATAGAAAAGTTGTGATAATTATATTGTTACTAATTTATATGAACTGTGAACAAAAAAAAAAAAGTTTTCTGCTTAAACTACTTATGGTCTTTTACCAGTTTTGTGTTTGAAACTCTTCAATATTTCAAGTGGGAAACTTTTTGGTCCGCGACTGTACAGTTTATAGAAAAGTTGTGATAATTATATTGTTACTAATTTATATGAACTGTGAACAAAAAAAAAAAAGTTTTCTGCTTAAACTACTTATGGTCTTTTACCAGTTTTGTGTTTGAAACTCTTCAATATTTCAAGTGGGAAACTTTTTGGTCCGCGACTGTACAGTTTATAGAAAAGTTGTGATAATTATATTGTTACTAATTTATATGAACTGTGAACAAAAAAAAAAAAGTTTTCTGCTTAAACTACTTATGGTCTTTTACCAGTTTTGTGTTTGAAACTCTTCAATATTTCAAGTGGGAAACTTTTTGGTCCGCGACTGTACAGTTTATAGAAAAGTTGTGATAATTATATTGTTACTAATTTATATGAACTGTGAACAAAAAAAAAAAAGTTTTCTGCTTAAACTACTTATGGTCTTTTACCAGTTTTGTGTTTGAAACTCTTCAATATTTCAAGTGGGAAACTTTTTGGTCCGCGACTGTACAGTTTATAGAAAAGTTGTGATAATTATATTGTTACTAATTTATATGAACTGTGAACAAAAAAAAAAAAGTTTTCTGCTTAAACTACTTATGGTCTTTTACCAGTTTTGTGTTTGAAACTCTTCAATATTTCAAGTGGGAAACTTTTTGGTCCGCGACTGTACAGTTTATAGAAAAGTTGTGATAATTATATTGTTACTAATTTATATGAACTGTGAACAAAAAAAAAAAAGTTTTCTGCTTAAACTACTTATGGTCTTTTACCAGTTTTGTGTTTGAAACTCTTCAATATTTCAAGTGGGAAACTTTTTGGTCCGCGACTGTACAGTTTATAGAAAAGTTGTGATAATTATATTGTTACTAATTTATATGAACTGTGAACAAAAAAAAAAAAGTTTTCTGCTTAAACTACTTATGGTCTTTTACCAGTTTTGTGTTTGAAACTCTTCAATATTTCAAGTGGGAAACTTTTTGGTCCGCGACTGTACAGTTTATAGAAAAGTTGTGATAATTATATTGTTACTAATTTATATGAACTGTGAACAAAAAAAAAAAAGTTTTCTGCTTAAACTACTTATGGTCTTTTACCAGTTTTGTGTTTGAAACTCTTCAATATTTCAAGTGGGAAACTTTTTGGTCCGCGACTGTACAGTTTATAGAAAAGTTGTGATAATTATATTGTTACTAATTTATATGAACTGTGAACAAAAAAAAAAAAGTTTTCTGCTTAAACTACTTATGGTCTTTTACCAGTTTTGTGTTTGAAACTCTTCAATATTTCAAGTGGGAAACTTTTTGGTCCGCGACTGTACAGTTTATAGAAAAGTTGTGATAATTATATTGTTACTAATTTATATGAACTGTGAACAAAAAAAAAAAAGTTTTCTGCTTAAACTACTTATGGTCTTTTACCAGTTTTGTGTTTGAAACTCTTCAATATTTCAAGTGGGAAACTTTTTGGTCCGCGACTGTACAGTTTATAGAAAAGTTGTGATAATTATATTGTTACTAATTTATATGAACTGTGAACAAAAAAAAAAAAGTTTTCTGCTTAAACTACTTATGGTCTTTTACCAGTTTTGTGTTTGAAACTCTTCAATATTTCAAGTGGGAAACTTTTTGGTCCGCGACTGTACAGTTTATAGAAAAGTTGTGATAATTATATTGTTACTAATTTATATGAACTGTGAACAAAAAAAAAAAAGTTTTCTGCTTAAACTACTTATGGTCTTTTACCAGTTTTGTGTTTGAAACTCTTCAATATTTCAAGTGGGAAACTTTTTGGTCCGCGACTGTACAGTTTATAGAAAAGTTGTGATAATTATATTGTTACTAATTTATATGAACTGTGAACAAAAAAAAAAAAGTTTTCTGCTTAAACTACTTATGGTCTTTTACCAGTTTTGTGTTTGAAACTCTTCAATATTTCAAGTGGGAAACTTTTTGGTCCGCGACTGTACAGTTTATAGAAAAGTTGTGATAATTATATTGTTACTAATTTATATGAACTGTGAACAAAAAAAAAAAAGTTTTCTGCTTAAACTACTTATGGTCTTTTACCAGTTTTGTGTTTGAAACTCTTCAATATTTCAAGTGGGAAACTTTTTGGTCCGCGACTGTACAGTTTATAGAAAAGTTGTGATAATCTTGTTATTTTTTTGTTGCTCAAAATCAATGAAAGTAAAGTAACTTTTTTATTCGTACTTTGTTCAACTCTTGTAGTTTTTAAAAATTTTTACTCAAACTATGATGTATTTGTTAACAAAACCCAATTTTTTTATATTTATTAAATCTTCGGATTTGGACAATCAGTTGCATTACCATTTTTTTTTAAATGTTGTCACTCATCTTTCCTCCAGAACAAAATCTTAAATTATGTGAATATATTTGGAAAGAAGAAATTATAAATTTAAAAACATCGTACTCTGTATTTTCATTACTACATACAGTTTACAGCTGTGGACAAAAAAAGTTTCCAACTTGAGGTACTTTATGGTAATTAAAACAGGATTTTACTAGCTTTATACTTGAAACTATTTCAAACACTTTTAAGTTAAGGAACCTTTTTTTGTCCGCGACTGTACGGAGATATATATTTTATAGAGAAGTTGTAATAACTTTATTTTTATTTTTTACTGGTTTGTTAACAAAGTTCAATCTGTTTTGTATTTACTTAAAAAATCTGACTGTGTTTGTGCTATCGGTTGCAATCGGATAGAATCCAAAGTGTCAATTTTCTTTAAACAAAATCTTATTGCTCAACTTTCCACCAAAAGAAAGTTCCAAATAATGTGAAAATATTACTTGAGTGGAACAAATTTTGAAATTAAAAACCCTGCTCTATATTTTCATTACTACATATAGTATACAGCTGTGGACAAAAAAGTTTCTCACTTAAACTACTTAGTCCTTTACTAGTTTCGTGTTTGAAACTCCTGCAATAAATTTAAGTGGGAAACCTTTTTTTGTCTGCGACTGTAAAGCCGATACACAGTTTACAGAAAAGTTGTGACAATTTTTTTATTCAGAATCAATAAAGAAACACTAAGGCAACTTTTTTAAATACCGTCTTCTATTTGCGTGATTTTCGGAAACCTTTACAAGGTTTAATAAAAAAAAAACTAATTAATTTTTTATTTTATTTTTTTGTCTTCAATTCGACTACACTAAAATCTGTATTGCATTAAGTAATGCCTGAAAGCAAGCTTACAGTGAATATATAATGTCTTTCTAAAAAGGTAGGCTGCTTTAATATCTTCCATTCTTAACACATGCTCAATGTGAATCGAAATTTTGTGTAATTTATTGAATATTTACTTGAACATGACGGATTGCCTCAAAAATTCTGAATAACTGCAGAAATATGTATGTGTAAAAGATGTAGAAGTTATTAATGTAGCCAGGCTGAGTTTACACAAATTTAAGGCATAAATAATAATTAAAATTACATCTATTCCTATCTAGAGATACCTAAATCACAATATAATATACCAGGTATAAGCAAGCATATCCCGACTATGACTAAAGTAATCTTTTCAGCGAGTTGGCTTACACTAATTCCTTGAAGGGATATTCAGGATGATTTTCAATTCTGAAAAAAATAGTGATTGTTAATAACCTAACAAACAGTAGATAAAAAAATGTGTAGTCTGCATGAATACGGTAAGTATCTACACTAATGCAAACAATAGGCCCATTCAGTAAAATTTTTTATTGCATATTTCAAAAGTTTACCCTTTAATTAGTTAGTATGCCAAAAATCAATTTTTTGTTTCAACAAGAAATGTGTGAAATAAATTAATGAAAACAGAGCGCGGAAAAACGTTGAGCAACCATTGCCTGACGTCATAATAGAGCACTCCGCTCACGCTCGCTCTCTTCCCATTCTGTGTTAATACATACGATATGTGGATCGATTCGCAGTTTCGTTAATTATTGTTTTTATGTCTAAATGGGTCGAAACCGAGGATTGTACAAATATTGTATAGTTCCAGGCTGCAAAAGTACCTCAGGATCGACTCCGAATAAAATATTTATTTCATTACCGAAAAATGAAAAGTTTGTGTGATGTTATCCACGGTTTCCCCAGCCACGGTATGCAACTCAAAACCACCTTCGTTTTTCTTTGGATGCACGTCTAGGGGGTTGTAAAATATTATTATTTGAACATTTAGAGCACAATTCTCAACTTTATGCCGGAAATAAATTCTGCCCCATCTAAATGTTCGTGTTCACAAAAAATTCGAAATACGACGGCGACAGGGACCTATAAGCAGTTAAGAACCACTCTAGTTTTTCTTTGGTTTTCCATCTAGAGGGTTTTAAATATTATTATTTGAACATTTAGAGCAGAATTATAAAATTTATGCTGGAAAAAATTTCTGCCCCATCTAAACGTACCCGTTCACAAAAATTTCGAAATACGTCGGCGAGAGGGACCTATAAGCAACTCAGAACCACCCTCGTTTTTCTTTGGTTGCCCGTCTAAGAGGTTATAAATATTATTATTTAAACATTTAGAGCAGAATTTTCAAATTTATGTCGAAAAAATAAATTCTACCCCATCTAAACGTTCCCGTCCACAAAAATTTCGAAATACGTTGCGAGAGGCACCTATAA